TTACTTTCACTTAACTTAGTTAAGTAGAGTTTACTTAATTCCATATGGGAAATTTACTTAAAAAATATGCGTGCAAAAACTTGCCCAATAAAAATTAAGTAAATGTACTCATTGTTTTTTTCAGTGTATATGTGTGAATTGTCATGTATTACTTGCTACCAATGTTGAAAGCCTGATTATTATGTGAAGAATTCGGGACGTTTTTGCAGGAAAATTTAAAAGGATGTGAATCAAAAAGTGTGCTTATGCTAGAACTGTGTAATTCAGATATGGACATTTTATATGTAATTGAAAGGACTGTTTGAGAGACTGTATTTCATCACGGACTCACAGCTGGTGAACCGCCTCTTCTGCACACACAGTTTCAGCACAAACATCTGCAAATGTTTTATTGTGAACATGTTGAGCTTTTAAATAACCTTTGCTTGCTCACTGTTGCGAAACGGAGAGGTTCGTGCTAATCAGCAACACTGACACTTTCACCATGAGCGACACGTCAAATCTCCAAATGTCTTCATGAACTGAACAAAAAATACTATTAGATCAATTATATTAGTATTATTTATTTATGTTGTATTTATGAATATTTTCTGGAATTAGCTTTTTTTTAGGTAGTAATTTTGTAACATGATTTTGTCATTTTTATTAGTTATGATTTACAGTAAAGAAATGTATAATGTTACAAAAGATTGTATGAAGGTCAAACGTATATAAATCACCCGTATGAAGGTCAAACGTAAATAAATCATCCGTACAAAGGTCGTATGAAGGTCAAACGTATATAAATCACCTGTATGAAGGTCAAACGTAAATAAATCATCCGTACAAAGGTCGTATGAAGGTCAAACGTATATAAATCACCCGTACGAAGGTCAAACGTATGTAAATCTCCCGTATGAAGGTCAAACGTAAATAAATCATCCGTACGAAGGTCAAACGTATATAAATCACCCGTACGAAGGTCAAACGTATATAAATCACCCGTACGAAGGTCAAACGTAAATAAATCATCCGTACAAAGGGCAAACGTATATAAATCACCCGTACGAAGGTCAAGCGTAAATAAATCATCCGTGCAAAGGTCGTATGAAGGTCAAACGTATATAAATCACCTGTACGAAGGTCAAACGTAAATAAATCATCAGTACAAAGGTCGTATGAAGGTCAAACGTATATAAATCACCTGTACGAAGGTCAAACGTAAATAAATCATCCGTACAAAGGTCGTATGAAGGTCAAACGTATATAAATCATCCGTACAAAGGTCGTATGAAGGTCAAACGTATATAAATCACCCGTACGAAGGTCAAACGTAAATAAATCATCCGTACAAAGGTCGTATGAAGGTCAAACGTATATAAATCACCCGTACGAAGGTCAAACGTAAATAAATCATCCGTACAAAGGGCAAACGTATATAAATCACCCGTACAAAGGTCGTATGAAGGTCAAACGTATATAAATCACCCGTATGAGGGTCAAACGTACATAAATCATCAGTACGAAGGTCAAACGTATATAAATCATCCGTTTGAAGGTCAAACGTATATAAATCATATAAAGAAGAAGAAGGAAACGTCTTATTTAGGTTGCATTTGACCAAACTTGTGAAGAAGTCATTGTTTAGCTGGTTAGTGTGGTCTGGTTAAAATAAAAATAAATAAATAAATTAAAATATGGAGCAGTAGCCTAAGATTTATGTTCATTTCATAAAGCATTATGGACTGGCCTTATTTTGACAAGTTTTTTGGCAACACTTTACAATAATGTTCATTAGTTAACACGAGTATTCACTAATTAACCATGAGCAATACATTTGTTACTGTATTTGTAAATCTTTGTTAACGTTACTTAATTAAAAATACAACTGTTCATTGTTTGTTCATGTTAGTTCACAGTGCATTAACTAATGTTAACAAGATTTGAATAAAGTATTAGTAAATGTTGAAATTAACATGAACAAAGATTAATAAATGCTGTATACGTGCAGTTCATTATTAGTTCATAATGTTAACTAATGAACCTTATTGTAAAGTGTTACCGTTTTTCTCCATGCGTTGATGAGTGATGGATAAAACTGTACTTCTGGTTGACAGGATGAGTTAGACTTCAGAAAACATGTTTGTCTCAAACTTATGCTTTTCTTCATGGCAGAAACAGATAAAGATGTCAGACTGAATGCAAGGCCTGTTTAAACTTCAAACTTTGACTAAAACCCCTTTCCTATTAACTCGAGGCACTCTATATAACAATAACATGTTAAAAGCCGGACTAATGTTTGTCAGATTCTACAGAAATAAATGAGAAAGTCCTTGTCAAAGACACAGAAGACAAACTTTCCCGTCGCCATGGCGATGTGTTAAGTGTGTGATGTCATCATTCCAGTCACGTACCCAGACTCTCCCGAGGCTTTATTCCCATCGGATGCCTTTAGATCTGAAGTGTGTCTTTACCTATTTCCCCCGAGTGTGTGTTTGTAAAGCTTCTGTCGGGAGGAATCCGGCGTAATGAGGTTTAACAGCCGGGGTTTCCTCGAGGACGGAAGCTTTCGGCCTTTACAGGGGAACAATTAAAGGGATACCGTGTTAATTTAGTATCATTAATACAGTTTTAGAATATTTATTAATGTTTTGAAATTTTTTTTCTCCCCTTATTTTTCTTTAGTTAAAGTTTTAGTCATTTTGTTGTCTGCTTTTGTCGTTTTTATTAGTTTTTTTATACTTAAAGCCTTTATATATAAATGCATTAATTATGCCTTATCATGCACTGTATGGTCTCATTAGAAAGTATAATGCATTAAAATTAGTACTAGTACTATCAAATCGGTTTATCGTGGTTAATCGCATCTAGTAACAAAAGTTATTAAATATTATATATATATAAAAGTGTGTGAATATATATAGTCAACATTTGAAGTGATCAAAACCTTTCATCAAAGTTATACATGAATTTTGAACATTACCCATTCTTGTCTTTTTTGATCAACTTCAAATGTTGACTACTGTATATATATATATATATATATGTATTTTGCATTATTTATCTTATAAATATTATATCTATATAAATATTTACCGTATCATTATGAAAACCTTTATAATGCATTAGACATAAAGGCTTTAAGTAAAGTTTTACCTGTTAAAAAAATGCTTGTATTATTTTTATTTTAGCTTTTGTTTAATTATTTTTAGTTTTAGTCATTTTACTTCTTCAACTTAAGCTAAACAGAAAACTTAGCCAACTTACAGAAATATTTAATAATTATTTTATTTTATTTCAGTTAAAGTCGTTTTTTTAAGTCATATTTTAACGCACATGTTAAAGTAGTTTCTCGTAAAGGGGTGTGGAAGGGGTTAAAGGTCTCGATCACATCAACACAAACCAGTTAAGCCAATGATTATATCTTCATCATCATCATCATGACCTCTGGCAATATTAAAGCTACTCAGTCATGGATAAAATAACAAAAAAAGTTCACTGACGCCCAGTTATTTTAAAGCCTCGATCCAAAACTAACTAATTTTTTCCCTGTTTGAAGCCTCAGAGGACATCATCTTATAATCTAATAGCAAATAACCAGTGAAACACTCATGCATTAGAATAAAGCTCTTGAAGTTACTGGTGTTTGTGAACAATCTGACGAAGTCTCCAAACCGAGGCCCTGAAACCCTGTGTCTGAGAACACCCTCGGCTCTCTCCGGGTCGCATGGACTGAAGCCGTTTGGCCGGTTCTGAAAGGGTTTGTGATTCGGCTCTTCAGGGTCCTTGGATACGAAAGGCAGTTTGCTGGATCATTCAGCTCTCCCGGCCTTGAAGCTCAGTCTGGAGACGCACCATGAATAGAGATTAGAATAGAGTCTGAACTGAAACGATTCTCACCATATTCTACATTAACCCTTCAACCGCGTGTCAGTCAACGCAGAGATCAGGCGAATAATGATTGACATTTGAACTTGTGTTGTTTATTACGGCTGATATGTGAGTTATTATTATTATTAATATTATTAAACCAGATATCAGGTATAATGCAGTTCACAACATGACATGAAAGTCAGCTTATAAATTAGTCAACTAATATTTTACATTTTAACTTATATTATTTGCATAATAATAGGCCTAATAATAATGTATTACTATTATTATTAAAATATCAGATAAAATATTAAGACATTTGAACTTTGACTTTGAATTATTAAGTTAAGCAATTTTTGAGCAAGTTATACGAGATTCAACACATTTTTAAGTCAGTTTAATGCCATTTAAGTTGAAATGACTTAAACATCCAAGTTGATTGTACTTAATAATTTAATGCAGCAACTTTCTTACACTGTAAAAAAAATACTTTCATAATTTGTTATCACAATTTTTTTTCTTTTTATCAAATCAACTTAGATAATTAATGTGATTCAGATAGCCTAACATAATATTTTGAATTTCAGTTTATTAAAAAAATCTCCTTTATTGTATTAATGTCATTGTCACCAATGTGCTTTACATCAGTAAGATAAACAAAATAGAGTAGGCTAGACTTGTATAGACAAAAAATAGTAGAATAGTAATAGAATAAAAATAATAACAAATTATCATGAAAAGGAAGAATAGGCCATGGCAAACAAATGTGTCTTAAGTTTTACTTTAAAAACATGTATTAATTTTAAGCAAATTTTGAGTTGCTGATCTCAAGGTTCTTCCTGTCTGATACATTAACAGATCTGATAAATAAGTCGGTGCAAGGCTATGAAGAGATGTACACACCAATAAAAGAAGTTTAAAATCAATCTATATACAGAAAGCCAATGTAAAGACGTTTTCACGTTTTTTAATATTCATTAATAATCTCGCGGCAGCATTTTGAACCTTTTGCATTCGCAGAATCGATGCTTGATGATTAAACTAATTATTTAATTTAAATGAACTCATAATTTTAACTGGTAACTTACTTTTTTAAAGTTACAGTGGGGGAGGGAGAGAGGGAGGGTAATCCCTGCTGGTGACGTCACGCGCGTGCACCCACTGTGAGTGAGTCAGTCAGTGTGAGCTCGCTCGCGGAGTCAGCGTTCCCGTTACCCGTTAAACTCTCAACACAGTTGATGTGACTCCTGCAGAAGTGCTGGAACGCTTGGAAAATGGGTATGTGAATTTATAAACCGAGTTTATTAAATACTTTCACGCTGTAGTTTGAAAGTTTGAGCGTTTTTTCCCCTCAGACTGTGACAGTTTAGTTAGTTTACCTCAGAACGGACGCGCGCGCGACTGTTGTGGAAATATACGTCTTTTTTCTCGCTTTGTTTCTGTAAAGTCTTTGTATTTCTTTGTATCTGACACAGTTCGAGAGTGGTCGGCATTAGTCTAGGTAACCGAGCAGCTCTGAGAAGTGAGATTATGGATTACACTAAAGAGATTTGATTTCCTACCAACAGCATGTCAGCTGTAAACAAGAGTAGACTGAAGTAAACGGTGGAACAGATTGTAATTTGACAGCAGTTTGTTATTTTGTTTTGTTGTGCCCAGCTGAAAAAAATATCTTATTAGAGCATTTTTGCTAACGTTCCCATTGAGTAATAAAACAATATTTCTCAATGTTCAACAAACGTTCAAACCGTCCACTTTAAAAAAAAAATGTTTTAAAAGTTTTTTTATTGGTTATTCGAACGTTAAAGAAGCATTCGATTTGATCATTCTTCAAACATTTTGAGAACGTTGATTTTTTGTTCTGAAACATAAAAAAACGTTAAAACATCTAAAACTAAAAAAAAAATATATATATATATACAGCCCATGTATAAATAATGTTTTTTTTTGCTTGCGTTTTGAGAACATTAATAACTTTGACTCTATTAACTTTACTGGAAGAACTTTAGTTCGTTGCTTTGAGAGAACCTTGCCGGAACGTTCCCTGTTAGCTGGGTAAACAGTGTTTTCTTACAATTCTGTTTAAAATTTTAATTTTCCATTCATTTGAATTTGATCTACTCTTAATCCACCTCATTAGGATTGTTCGTTTTCAATGAGCAAATGCAAGCCCAGTTCGGCACAGAGAATACCTGACCTATGTGCTGTTTGTGCATTTATAACTCAATCAGTGGCTCTTTTAATCTGGCGTTTGCTTTAGTTCACAAGATTTACATTGAACATCCAGCAGTTGTTAACCACACAAAGAGTATTATCATTTACATAATGTGATTTGGTTGATGGTTTTTGAGGTTAAAGGGTTAATATTCACCCAAAAATGAAAATTATCCCATAATTTTCCACCTCAAGCCATTCTAGGTGTATAACTTTCTTCTTTCAGCCAAACACAATCAGAGTTATATATTAAAAAAATATCCTGGTTCTTAAGCTTTATAATGGGAGTGAATAGTAACTTTATTTATTACTTTAAAGGTTATTACTTTATTAAGGCCTTTATTAACACCTGGAGCCGCATTGATTACTTTTATGATGGATGGATGCACTTTTCTGGGCTTCAGGGTTCGACACGTGCTTGAATTTGACTTTTTGAAACTGAAGTCCTGCAACCCCCCTGAAAACAACCATATTTATGAAAAGTGCTTGAAAAGTGCTTGAATTACTGATAGACAATGTTTCATTTTATTGCTAAAATAATTTTTTCACACAAACTCAACGCTGCAACCCATCTGATATAGATATAAAGGCATTTTGCATGGCTATGAGTGTGATATTGCTCATATAAATATCCAAGTATATGATCCAGCTTTTATTCTTCAGGTCAATCATATATTCATGGGAGAAAAACCAGTTTGAATAAGGAAAGCGATATCTTTGTCATAGTGTCCTATCAATGGTTAAAGTTACCAGTCATTGGACTTTATTTGTTCCATTTTGTTTTATTAGTTTCTTTTTGTTTATCTGTTTACCTTCAGATATTGTTTGATAAGTGAGATCTCTGATTGTAGTCCTTGAAAACCAAAAAAGTAGTGCTTGAAAAGTCCTGCAATTTAATTTTACAGTGTCTGTACAAACCCTTTACTCCCATTATGGATATTTTTTAATATAAACTCACCTAAGATGGCTTGAGGGTGTTAGTTAATCATGGGATAAATTTCATTTTTGGGTGAATTAACCCTTTAAGGGCATCACAACCTGTCATGTAATCACCCGTTTAGTGTGACACGCTTCTAAGTGACAGATACAGCAACAGAGAGTTTGGAAGGCATGAACAGCAAAAGAAACGGGAGGATTTTCTCTTCCCTTTTAAAATGTTGACAAGTGTGTTTATACACAGTTCTACATTTCGTCTGCATTGTTTTGCCTGCTGTCTCTGACCCATCAGGCTCAGTAAAGTCTTGTATAATATGTCCTGCAGATGTTTGAATAGATGAGCGAGTAGAATAGCCTGTATTGTGAGTTTCCCCCCTGAAACGGGCCGATGAGGAGAGAGGCGCCACTTCCACGGATGTTTACCACTGTTTAAAAGCTCCCGACTGAATTATGGGCTTTGGGACGGTAAGAAGGGCTGTGGGCCAGATGGGCTCCGGCGCTGAGACGAGGATAAACGCTGTCTCTGATCACGTTCAGACCTCAGGAATCCGTCCCAGCACTTGGTTATACGATTAACCTGTTTTTAGTTTCAGCACAATATCATTTGTTATGCAATATTGCAGTGTTTATTATGAATGATTTATAGGTGCACATCATTATTGTGTAATTGAGTGCCTTGGATCGCGCAGCTTTGTTTGATGCGTTGATGACATTTCCACTGAAACAGGAAGCTAAGGCGGGACATATTGAATGGCTCCTCCCCCTTTTCAAACAGCCAGTAGCGTTTAGTTTCCCTCACAGACTGACAGCAGCATGGAAGCGAATCCGAGCGCTGATGATACGCTGGATTCAACAGTAGAGGATTCCTTCATTTCATTCTGATAGTTGGAAAACAGAATAAAACTGGAGCGTTCGAGCAACCGAACACACACTCAACACACATTTCTCCGTGTCTGTCAATGGTTGCTTTAGTCAGGTGGTGTTTATAGCAGAGGGGGCGGAGCTTTAGATTCTACAGAGCATTTGATTGGACAGAAGATGTGATGAGATGCGGTGATGTCATAAAAATCCATTTTAGTGGAAGTGAGAGACTTTAAGTTTTGAATGCTTATATCTCCTAAATGCACATTTTGTCATTGTTTTGGAAGCTTATTCCTAACCTTAAGGCTAACATACAGGTGAAACTCGAAAAATTAGAATATCGTGCAAAAATTATAACTTTGATGATTATGGCGTACAGCTTATGAAAACCCCAAATTCAAAATCTCAGAAAATTACAATATTACATGAAATCAATAAAAAAAAAGGATATAAATACAGAAATGTCTGAAAAGTATAATCATGCATATGTATATAGTTATATATACTAAATATATTAGTTTCACCTTTTAATTTGAATTACTGGAATAAATGAACTGTTGGACGATATTCAAATTTTTCGAGTTTCACCTGTATTCATACTAAAAGATAAAAAAATTAATATTTCAGGGGCCTTTAAATTCATGTGGCTCATAATCACGAATCAGAATATCTTCCTCTTGCAGCATCTCTTCTCTGATGATGTGGGCGGGGCTATAACATGTCACTCACATGAGATCAGCCAATAGCAAACCACAACCATCCAATCAATTCCCCACAGACACAATCAAGCCCCGCCCACATTTGTTCTTGTTCCAGAAGCGTTTCACTCGATATACGACACAATAGAGGAGAAAAGACTATTGCAACTTCCATTTAATGGTGACTTTACTCGCCTCAGTGTTGTTTCCAAACCTGTATGCTGTTAAAACAAAGGTAGATGTTTTGGAGGAGCTTCATGCAGCTCTTGGAGATTCTTCCAACAACAACAAAAAAAAAGTTTTAATGTTGAGAAAATAACAACTTCCAGGTTTGGAATGACATGAGGTCGAGTGAATGTGCTGAACTATTGCTTTAAATGCTCACGCTGATAACTTGCAAGCCAACATCTTGTTTTTATTTACTCTTTGAAGTATTCCTCGTTAAGTCGACGTCGTTTCATCGCTTGTGTTTCTTGAGTTCTGTTGGGAGGAAACTGGCAGGAGTGAGAAAGCAGACACAGACCGAGCGGATTCAGCCGTCGCAGCTGACAGTGTGAGAGTGTGTGAGAGTGTGTGAGAGTGCGTGAGAGCTGGGGTTTGTTCACAGCACTGGCTTTGTGTGTCTAGTTCATCGGCCTCGTCTTTGTGCGACTCCAGAGACTGTAATCGTGAAGTTTGGAGATCCTGAAGAGAATAAAGCCGTGAATGAGAGCCTCTGCGTGCTTTAGTCACACAAACTCAGTCTTTACACTACTGAGAGACGTTTGATTCTGTGGGTATTTTGCAGATTTTACAAATGGATGCTTTTGTGTTTCTCACAAAATAATGAGTGCGTTTTAGTGGTGCGACGGATCACAAAATTGACGGTTCGGATCATTTACGGTTTTTGAGCCACGGATCGGATAATTTTTCAGATCAGCAAAAAAATAAAATATGTATAGCCTAACTAACTTTGTAACTTTGCTTTTCGTTTATTACTTAAAGCTCACCTGAAGGTCTTCGATATCACATCAAAAACTACTGGCCTAACTGATGAAGTTCAAACATTGTTAAAAACAAGTGAACAGTCAGTAATAAAAGAAGAACAATTACACAAATTACTAAATCACAAAGTTACAAAGTCTAAAGGCCCGTACACACCGGGACGAATATCGGCGCGCGTTATTCGCCAGCGTTTTTCAACGCGTTTTTTGCGTTCACACCCAAGCGACCCAAGCGTCCCGGCAGTGTAGACGCTACTTATCTTCTTCGCCGTTGCGTATGTGTGCTCGGCAAGACCGTTTTGTGTGTGAGCGCCCCCAAGTTGTGTTTTACTGTAACTTCAGAAGCTCCAGACACGTGAGCAAACGCGCCAATCTCATTGGTCGGATAACCAAAAAAACGAACCCGAAGCGTTTTTTAAAAAAAATGACGCTTTTACGCGTGGTGTTTTTCGCGTCGGTGTGCACACTCACATTGGCGCCCTTTGTTTAGTCACGAGGCGTTAAACGTCGGCGAAAATCGCGCGCAAAATTCGTCCCGGTGTGAACAGGCCTTAACAGTGGTATTCAGGGACAGAAATTAATAATT